AATAGAATAGAAAATCTCAGAATAGATCACATGTAGTAATGTGAGTATTGTTTTGTGAAACTTTAGTTACACACACACACACACACACACACACACACAATTTGTAGTGGCAATTATCCAAATACTGAACAACCAGCATGACGTAGATATCAACTGATAGGGATGGATGCCAACAATATCTGCTGGTTGTCTGAATATCAGTATAAAATATATCTTTTGTAATAATAAAAAAAAGTGATTGAAATCCATTGGTCTATGGAACATAGCTCAAGACTTTTGGGGGTAAGAGGCAGCTAAGGGAACATGTCCATAATTCATTCCTGTCTCTGGAGCATTTCCTGAAACCAGAGCAACTCTCAGTGTGCTACAACTTGGGATATTCTAGACACCCATGTTTCTGCCTGCTGGTATCTATTCCCATGGGGAACCAGCATTCCCTCATCTCTCTTGCCCCTGAGAGTCTGCTAATACCAGTCCCTGGCCCCCTGGTCACAGTGATTGGCCCAAATTGAGCCAATCAAAGTTTTCTAGGGCTTCACATATGGGTGCTGAAGGGAAGTGCTGGGGCTTTAAACAGCTTTGCCCTCCCCACTTCCACTGTCCACAGGAAGGCAGTCTCCCTTCTGGAGAGGGAGAGAATGAGGCCAGTGTGAAGGCCGAAGCCAAGGAGAAAGACATCTGAGGTCAGCATGTGTGTCTCGCTGGACCCCTGAAGCCAGCCTTGCACAGCTACTGACCCAGTACTGTTCCTTTGGTTTTTATTTTTAAAATAAAATAAATAGTCCGTCTTGGGTTTCTTTCACTTGCAGCTAAAGGAGTGGCGATTACCTCATGGCTCCTTGAAGCAGGCAAGGACTGAGTGACTGAGTACTAATTGCCGAAGTGACTGAGTACTAATGTGGCTCAGAAACTCATTGAGTGAGAGAAGAATGAGATTCTGATCATCTGGTGCCAGTGAGTCTACACATGTACCCTACACTTACGCAGTGTGGGCAGGATGCCAGGAGGGAGCATCCCCTGTCACACTTCAAAGCTGCATGGAGCCCTCTGAAATCTGTCTCTTGCATGAACATTTCACCTGAATATATAGGGTTTGTGGGGAGCTCTCCACGGCCCCTCTGAGGAAGGCCTGGAGAAGCTCGGTCCACTTCCATGGGTGGAGGGCAATGGCCACCAGGTATGACTGCCCATTTCTGTCCTCCAGGTAGGAGCACCAGAGTCTGATGGCTGGGTAGGTCTGGAAGAGGCTGCTGGTCAGTCAGCTCTGTCTTCTCCCTCTAGGCCTTTCCCTGCAGCTGAGCCGATAGCCCCTGGGAAGAAATAAGATGAGAACTGTGTGTTCTGAGCCCTGCCCGTGGGTGTGTAGGTGTGTGTGTGGGGAGGGGGCGGGGGAGAGACAGCAGACAGACAGACAGAGACAGACAGAGAAATAGAGAAATCCTGAGGTTGGGCAGGTGTCGATCTTCCTCAGGGCATGCTGTACCTCTCCCTCTCTCGGAAGTCCCTCCTGTCCTCACAGAGAGAGCAGGGCAGCCTCCCTCACCCTCGCACTACTGGCTCCCAGGCAACGTCTGGGTCTCCCAGCCCTGACTCCAGCACTGCCATCACCAGCCCAAACTGTCCACTGAAGAGCCATTTCAGCTGAGGTTACTCTCATGGTCCCCAAAGTTCCCTGGGGGCACAGACTGCCCTGACTCCACTCTGCATCCTTCCACAAGCAGACAGCCCATCCTCACTGTGCTCTGCCTGCACTACTCATTCTCACCTCTAAATCTTTGTTCACTCTAGATCACTGCCTGGAAGGCTTGCCCGAATCTTAGTCAACCTTCACGCTTTGCAAAAGAGCCCAGGGCTGTCCTGGGCATTCTACATAGGACTTTGGGACCTCTACCTCTTCATCTCCAAACACGTTCCACTGAGGTCTTCTTCTTCAAGAAGCCTTTGCTGCACTGTCTCCACATGTCAAACTCTTTCAGGAGCCTACTTGTTCATCATTCTTCCCAGATTATCTTTCGAGTTCCTTCAGAAATGAAGTGAGTAACAAAGTTTTCACTAGGTCACTTTTCTCCAAAATTTTATTTTGGATATTGCAGACCGTTAAAACTTTCAACAAATTTTGGAGACCAACAGAATTTGTGTATATATATTTAAAAAACATATAAAACAACCAAGGAACAAAACGACCATTGTGTTCTTGCCACTGTTTCATAAAAACACGGAACACCAAAAAAGTAGGAAGGATATGATCTCAAAAAATAAAAAGTCATTCTTTAAATTACATTTATATTTCACCAAAAAAACCAGACTACCCTTTTTTATTTTTTTTCATTTTGCTGTAGACCAGTGAGAACATTGTCATGGAAACCACCAGAAAGATAAAGGAAAGAAAAAGAGACACTGGAGAATGTCAGAGGAGGGAAGGAGAAAGGACAAGGAATGAGGAGGGTGGGCGGACAGAGGTCCACCAGTGAGGGGATGCTCTGCCCTGAACTGATCCCCTTCTCCTTATACAAGACTGGGGTGGCCAGACTTGGGTCCTGACCAACAGGCAGAGCTGCGGCCATGCTCATAGGTCAGGCTGCTCAGTGACCACCCCACTGGCCCTAGAAATCCTGGAGATCTGGCTTCCACCCGCTCCCAGTGCAGAGGTGTTCTGGACTTGTGCTCGCGTCCAGTGCCAGCTGGATTTGGGAGACAGGCCATCGGTACAGGACAAAAAGTACAGGACTTGGAATCAGGAGCCCGAGGTATAGGCCTGGCTCTGCTGAGTCATTTTGAAAAGCCCCTTCCTTCTCTGGGCCTCAGTTTCCTCCACTTAAAAATGAAGATTCTGAACCAGTCTTGAGTCATTTCTGAGGAAAACTGAAGCCCTCTGTCAAAAATAATTTTTTAAAAGCCCTGAACAAAATATTTTGCATAGAATTTCACGGGCTCCACTAATTCCTCAAGGCCTTCAATTCCCAAGGGCCCCTGGACCCCAAACCAAGAACCCCAACCTGCCAATCTGGACACATAGCTGCTGGCCTCTTGCCTTCAAATATTCCCCTTTACTGGGCAGTCGACAATATTTTCCGATCATCACAATGGCAGGGCCAAACACCTCAGGGAAGGTGGTAACTCTATACAAAGAATTACTAGCCCCTGGGGCTCCTTGCCGGTTCACAGCGGAGCTGTGAAACGCAATGAACTTCATGGATGGAGACACGGTCTAAAGAGAGTTTCAGATTGTGACTCCTGGAGGGAGAGAACACAGTGATGACAGGAATCCCTTTACTGGGGACAAAGCCTTCTGGACACCTGACAAAGTGTAGGGCAGTGGGAAAAGCTTAGGCTCAGTAGCTAGAATGCCCTGGGGTTAGATCTGGCTCTGCAAATTAATTATGTTATTTGGGCAAGTTATTTTACCTTGAACCTTCTGGTTCTTCATCTGTACAATGGGGATAAGAATTATGCAGCAGAAACGATAAAATACTCTAAATATTTCTGGATTCCTTTAATTTCCCAGCCTCCCTTGCAGAAGGTTGAGGTTATGTGACTAGTTCTGGCTAATGGTCTGTGAATAGAAGAACCATGTGTCACACCTGGTTGAGGCACTGGAGCGTCCATGTGCTTCCTCTATCTCTCTCTTCCATCTTCCATAATGACCCCAGAGGCCAGTCTTGCAGATGGCGTGGCTACAAGGTGGAAGAAAGGTCTCTTGTCCCATATCAGACTTCACATGAGTGGCAAATAAAGTATTATTATGCCACTGAAATTTCGGGAGTTCTTGGTTGTGACAGCTAGTGTTAATTACAGGGAGGGCTAATTGAGATAATAGACACAAAACCCTGAGTACAGTGGGGGCTGTTATTTTTAGAAAAAATAACTAAGCCCCCCATATTAGTCCGCTCAGCTGTCATAACAAAATACCATAGACTGGTGGCTTAAAGGACAGAAGTTTATTTCTCACAGTTCTGGAAGCTAGAAGTCCAAGATCAGGGTGTCGGATTGGTTGGGCTCTTTCTGGTTTGCAGGTCGCTGCCTTCTCACTGTGTCTTCACAGGACAGAGAGAGTGACCGTACCTTCCAAAGGCCCTATCTCCAAATATCATCACACTGGGGGTAGGGCTTCCACATGGATTTGGGAGTACACAATTCAGTCTATGGCACACCCCTCTCAAGACCAGCCTCCTCAGATCTCCCCCCACTCCCCTGCACCAGACCTTTTTTTTTTTTAAGAGCACATTTTTAAATGCAGAAGCAGGCAAAAGTGGGGTGAGGTGGGAGTTTCATCCAAGGGAAACCGTGAGGAAGGCCTGCCTCCCCCCATTTCCACTGATCGCTACAGGCACTCTCCTTTCATCCTCTTTTTCCTTCTGAGTCTTCCTCCCTCCTCCCATCCATTCTTCCACACCCTGACTTTCATACAATTCACAGATAACTTCTTAGCCAATTAATCGACTCATTAGGACCGAAAGACTCATCTCGTCTTACCTCTTGATCCTTACAGATGACAAGACTGGGCCTGGAGAGGGTTTGAGAAGCACCAGAGGTCTGGGCTGGTTTATTCAAAAGATAAGGAGTTGCGGGGGGCGGGGCGCAATTTGGTGAAGCAGGGGCAGCAAGTCAGACTATCAAGAAGGGAGCGATTTTCAATTCAGTATACGAGTTTTGCATATTTTTTTCAAAATAAAGTTTTATCTTACAGTTTTCAGTTTTTATTTGGAAGTAATACATATGGAGGACCCCAGGTCCCCATAAATCCATAAAATTCGGCCTGTCCAAGGCTTGAATCAGGGTCTCACGGGAACGCCTTTCCTTACTCCATCCCTTTCCGGAGCGCTGGAAAAGGGCTTCTGCCGCGTTTTTGTCTCTGCTCTGAGACAGCCAGTGACCATTAACTTTCTCACCCTCCTCTTCCAGCCTAGGGCGGGCCCGGGGGAGCCGGGTCACGTGTTAGGGAAGGGGGTTTATCCAGGCGGCCCCTCTGGAGCTCCACCTGACCTCTGCCGCCTAAGCCCATGGCCACAGCCTTCGCGCTCATCGCGGGGGTCCTGCTCCCCGGCTGGGGAGAGTTCTCCCAGTTTAAAAAGGTAAGTTAATGAATGTGAGCCAAAGGGAATTTAGAACTTTCTACGTTGGTAGAGGGTGGTAGCCGAGGCAGCATAGTGTAGCCAGAAGGCTCCGGTTGGGTTTGTAGAGAGATGGCTGGTGGGAGTGGGAACCACTCCAAAGTGGGGATTTGTTTCCAGGCTGGAAGCTTGATGTGTTCCCAAATGGACGTCAATGCTCTGTTTCATCTCTCTGGTGGTCTGGAGGTGAAAGAAGGTGGGCTTATGACCAGCAGTACCCCCTTACCCCACCACCCAGCACCCACTCCGACCCTCTTAGTCTCAGGCCCCCCAGGCATACCTGCCTGCTCTGGTTTCTCCTCCTTTCCTCATACCTCCAGGCACAATGACTCTTCCCTTCTCCATCTTCCCCTGCCACTTTCTGCCACAGTCCTACTAAAAGTATGATCTGGAAGTATCTGTGCTCCCCTCCCCGCCCCGCTCCCCGCGCCCAGCACAGGTTACCCTTTTGGACTCACAGAATTGAGGGGGGCCTGGTAAAGGAGAGACAGAGAGAAAAACATTAAATCTCCACTCTTCCTCTCCCCTGCTCCTCTGAGTGCTGCTGGGGGTGGGGGTGGGGGCGGCGGGCAAGGGTTGTGCAGTAGAGGGTGGGACCTGGGGGTGACTGTCTCATGGCTTCTCTTCTTGGCAATGTCGAGAACCCTCCCCCACCATCCCATACAGCCAGAGAGCTAGTGACTCAGGGCTTGTCCCCACAGGTGAATGGGGCTGTATGTTCTCATCGCTCTGAGTGCTTCAGTGACTGCTGCCTCATAGACTTGGACCAGGGTGGTACCTTCTGTGCCCCCAAGGCCAGAATAGCCATGGCATGCTTACCCCAGGTGAGGCTCTGAGGTGGGGTAGCCCCTTCTGGCAAGTAGGGTGGGGAAGTTTAAAAAAAAACCCACGTGACTGCACCTGCTGTTTCACCCTCTGTTTGAGGTACCCTTTCTCCCTTCTCTTGGAACACTCCTGTTCGTCCTGCAATACAACTCCAGCCACCCATACATCTGAGAAGCCCCATACATCTCCGTGGAATTCCCACACTCTAGGCTCAAACCCTCCACAGAACGTGGATCTCCCTGATTTACTATGCCTTCTGTCTGCCTTTTCAAGGTCAGGATTGCAGCATATTCATCTTTGAACCCCCTACCCCTCAGCTTACTGCTCACACATAGTAGGTGCTCAACAAATGTTTGCTGAATGAATGAATAACTACCCTAATAACACTGAGGCAAAGTAGGTGGGAAAAGATCTTCTCCCTAGTAATCCCCACCTCCCTGCCACAATGGCCTTACTTCTAGAGATGAGCATGGCACTGCAGTGGCTGGACCACAGCTTTAGAGCTGGACCTGAGCGTAAATCCTGTTTTTTCCACCCCTTGTCTTTATGACCTCAGACAGGTCACTTCTGTTCTCTGAGCATTAGTTTCCTCATCTGCAAAGTAGGACTAAAGTACCTACCCCTCCAAGTTGTTGGGAAGAGTATGTGATCCTAGCAATGACAGTGATCAACTGAGCATGGTTGTTATTAGCTGATGGAGATGCAGGAAGCAGAAAGCACAGTACATCTGGTTCCTGCTCATCTTCTCTCATCTGGCCCTGTGCCCAAACCTTTCTAGGGAGGATGAGCTCGGCTTTCATGTTCCTTGTCAGGGGAGCTGCCAGTGCCCTTAGGACCTGGCCTGAGCTGAAGTGGCCAGAGGATCTTTTCATTATTAGTATTTAGTCTACTTTATTTCATTTAATCTTCACGATAACCTAGGAGGTGGGTTGCTATTGTTATCCCCATTTGACAGATGAGGAAACTGAGACAAAGAAGCTCGTTAACTTGCCTAAGATCAGGAAGTTATAAGCTGTAGAACTGACAGACCCCAGGTCTGTCTCTCTCCATTACTTGTGCTTTTGTTCTTGCTCCCCAAGAAATTTAAACCCTCTTCCCTGCACCTTGGTGACCCCCAACTCTCATACTCATTTCTCACAGACCAAAGGAGCCATCAACATCATATGCCCCTGCCAAATGGGCTTGCGTTGCAAATCCAAGGACGTGATCTGTCCTCGCCGGTGCTATTTGTTTTAGAGGAGGATGCAGGATTGTCATTACCATCCTCCTCCCCTTCCTGGAGCCAGAGGCCTTGGGACCCTCCATCTGGCTAAAAATCCAGCTCCTGAAACATTAAAGTCACTTCTTGGCTCTGGCCTCTGTCTATACTTCCTGGGAGAAGGAACCTAATAGGGATTGTTCCAGTTTGGGGGTGGGTGAAAGGGGAGACTGGAGGCACGAAAGAGCTTCCCATGGGGTTTGGCCCTGCCTAGAGGCCTGGTGGCCTCAGGGCAGAACTGCGGAAGGGAAAGGGGGTAATGGAGTGTGGATGAGAGAATGCTGGGTCCCGGAAGGGCCAAGTCTTGGGGTGGAGGGCTGTATTGGAGGGTCAGGGTTGAGGAATGTGCCTGAAGAGTGTATGTTGAGGTGCCCACAGATGGGTGTGCAGTAGGAGGGACTGAGAGGGGCCAAGTAAATGCTTTTCAAGAGAGGCAAGAGGGTGGAAGTCATTGAGAGATTATTTATGAGAGTATAAATGTAAAACAAGTATAAATGCAAAAATGCTCATGCCTGTGGTTGGAAAGGGGCACTGATGTCTCCACTCTCTCAGATATTATCAGTTCCATTTTATGGATAAAGAAACAGGCTCGGAGAGCTACATGACTTGTCCAAGGTCATACAGTGGGAATATCAATGAGGACTCTTTCTGCTGTAAGTATCAAACAAACAAACCAACCAAACCAAACAACAACAACAACAAATTGATATAGATAATGAGGGAATTCACTGGTGGTCAGAACTAGAAATCCAGAGGCAGGTCTGGCTGAATCTATGGCCCTCAGGCTGCATTCCTTCCCAGTAGCCACAAAAGTTCCAGGTGCCACCTAATAAAAACAGCTAAGGTTGAGGAATGTGCCTGGAGAATGTATGTTGAGGTACTCACAGATGGGTTTTACTGAGCACTTACTATGTCCCATGCACTGTGCAAGGTGCTTTATAATCTGTATTAACTCATTGTTATAGCAAGGTTATAGTAGGCACTATAATTGTCTTTATTTTACAAATAAGTAGTTAAAGCTCAAAACGTCCCTCTCAAAGGTTCACAGAACGGGGTGGGACTTGGATTTGAACCCAAGCTGTCTTGCTCCAGAGGGCAGGCTCTTAACCACAAATCTATCTCACATATGCATATTGTACCTTCCAGAGAAAAGAAACATCTCTGTCCCAGGATTCTTAGCAAATCTCCTAAGACTGATTTTGATTGGATTAACTTAGTCTGCAGACTCACCCCTGAACCAGTCATTGTGGTGTGACTTGCTTATTGGCTTAGGCTGGGTTATATATGGGGGTGGAGTCAGCCTCCCTGGCATGGTTCTGATAGGGGTGGGTGCACAACTATGGCACCCACCTGGCATCCCTGCGGCCAAGAGGGCACAAATGTAGTCTGGACTCGGAACTCTACCCCCTCTCCTGGCCAGATCCTGATGAAGATCCTGGCCTCAGCTCTGATGTCTGGACCCACTCTCCTAGATTAGTCTGGAAACTTGAGACTCTATCCCAAGTTTAGTCTTTCCTAGGGGACACCCTGTCCTGGACCCATTCACAACTCCCCATTTGACATAACCACAGTGCAGCTCAGAGATCCTTTGCTTCACACAGAAATTATATCTTGATCGTTTCCCCCATGTTACCAAAATGTTTTTAAAAGCACTAATTACTGCTTAATTTTTTGTATATGTGGACCATGTTTTGCTTAACTAATTCCCTCTGGGTAGACAAACCATCTATGTTCTTTAGGATACAAGTTTATAGCTGCAGAAACAGAAACCTACTCTACTGATGGCTTAAGCAAAGTAGATTTCTCTCACCTGGTAGTTGGAGGAGGCTGAATGGGGGTTGTCCATCCAGCTGGGTGAGCTTGTCCGTGTTCCCCACCTCCTTTCATCTTCTCGTTCAGCCATCTGCTGCTCGGATTCCTTTTTTTTTTTTACGGCACAGTACACATAGAAACATGGTATCTGTAAATCACCTTAGGGTAAAAATAGAAGGGCTTCGGGGCCCTAAAGTGGCTCTTCTGAGGGCAGAGGGGATCGTTACCTGTAGATACACTAGTCGGGAAGCTCTGCCCTGGGACATTTTGTTCCTTCGCATAGCTGAAGATGGCTCATCACCATATCTGCTTGCTCCACATTCCAGTTAGAAGAAAGGGGTAGAAGGACAGCAAATGCTCATGTTTTCTAAAAGGGCATGGACAAGAGCCAGCATGAACTATTTTCAGTTATATCCCACTAAGTAAAACTTAGTCAGTTGACAGTAGCTAGCTGCAAGGGAGACTGGTAAATGTGGTTTTCATCTGGGTATCTATGTGTCTAGCTAAAGATTGAGGTTCTAAAGGACAGAGGGAGAACCTACAGTGGCAACAACTTGCCACCACAAAACCCTTTATTATTATTTTACTATGTAAGGGCAGCTTGGATCCCATGACCTAGAACTAATGGTGTACTGCTAGGCAGCTCTTTCTTTAGTTGTGTACTCTGGCTTAACCAGAGCGTGGTAGTGGATGGGGAACACATAACCCTGAACTTCTCAGCAAGCCTTGTGGTAAAGCTCGGTTGAATCATTGTTGGAAACATGGCTGACTCATCGACAGTACTCAGGAGAGTAGCTATCTATATCTACATCTATATCTGTATCAAGTCATGCTTTCTTTTCTGCAAGAGGTAAACATGGCAAAATTTTTATGATGATTGAAGATTTTTAAAAAAGGAAAAAATTTGAGGTTTCTATCACAGAGTAACATATCTTCCTACCCCAAACATTGACATCATGCTATCCCTAGGCTTGAGTTTTGTGGCAGATGTTACTCCTCCTCTCCAAGTCCCCCTACAGGTAAAACACCCTGAAGCCAGACTTGAGCATTGGGAGAGGGACAGAGTGGGAAAAATACATAAGCACACTGACTCCTCCCGGCCTGGTGTACTTGGAAGGAAGGTGAGCCAATCATTTGCTCGTTTCCTACCCTCCTGCTCTGTTCTTTATCCCTGGGAACTACATTTCCCAGTCTCTTTTGTCTTCTGGCTTCTAAGACTGGCTGAAGATCAGGGGACAGAAAGGTAGGAGATGGGGTACTTGCCTTCTCCCGCACCCTTTGCCTTCCAGATTCAGGTGATGTCACCAGCAGTCCTCTTGTCTCCTTTAGGATAGCCCCTTTCCTGCAGCCCCCAGGGACTCCAGTCATAAGGCATTATCATATTGTTTCTCCAGCCATAGCAGGCATTGATGTCTTCCTGCTATTGTTAACCTCCCTGTTGCTTTGACATCCTGTTTGGTTTCTCTGCTTCTCCATCACGTGTGTGACCATTTCCACATATTAAATTTTCTCTGTTTCAAACACCTGGAGGAATTTCTGTCTTTCTGACTGGACTTTGGTAGAGAAGGAAACCTTCCAAATGGAGGCAAAGCTGATTCTGGAATGCTAGATCCTCCTTAAGTGAGTAGAATTCACTCGAAACACAATTGCTTTGGAAAGAGAGCTGAGAAAACGGTAGTGACTTATGAAAAGTCTTATAAATACTTTTGTTACCGTTGGGGCCGATGGGAGTTTGGTGTGGCTTCAGTGGCAGCAGGGAGGGAGAGGGATAGTGGCTTCGCAGACGTGTAGTTAGCATTTTCCCTCGGTTCTTCCTCAATTGACTCAGTAAAGAATCACAGGTCATTGAGATTTAGGAAAGATTTATTAAAAATATATTTTAGAAAGATAAAGAATGCCCCAAGAAGACACATGGAGAAAGACAAAGTATTCCCCAAGGAGGCACATGGTCCCAGCGCTGTAACCAACACAAGGGGTCCCTAAAAAGGCCACAAAAAGAGGAGCCAGAAATAGGAATGTTACAACCACAAGTCTATTGTCCATGATGCAGATTTAGGAAAGATTTATTAAAAATATATTTTAGAAAGATAAAGAATGCCCCAAGAAGACACATGGAGAAAGACAAAGTATTCCCCAAGGAGGCACATGGTCCCAGAGCTGTAACCAATACAAGGGGTCCCAAAAAAGGCCACAAAAAGAGGAGCCAGAAGTAGGAATGTTATAACCACAAGTCTATTGTCCATGATGAGTGGTTCCAAAGGTGTTCGTAGGTGATTGGCAAGTGAGGTCATTTTGATTGACACCTGGCTGCTATATATCTCCTTGCCTAGTGCACATGTGCTTACTCAGAATTCAATCTGTTATAATTAGGTTCATGAACTTCCAGGCATAAACATAGATTATAATGAAGCTTAAATTGTAGGCAAATTAGGGTAGTGCCTTCTGCACAGGCATCTGTAGCCAGATCAGGCCAGCTAAGACTATGAGTCTCCTGTCCTTTGTCTCTGGGGATACAGGAGGGATTCTCTAACCACCAGCAGGGTGTTCTTTGAGCGGTCTCTGGGCTGGGCCCCTATTCCTTTACTCCTCCTGTTACTCATGTCTGACTAGCTACCTAACACATTTACTTTGAAAAACTTTAAAACCATTAAAGACAATACACTAAATAAAAGTTATGTCAATGACATTTTGTGTTGCTTTAAATTAGGCATAATCGGTGGTTTCTTATAAATTCCCATTTGCCATACCTAAGGAACATGTACTGACTTTACCTGCCAGAGATTCATTATTCCCTTTCGCTTGGTGACTCTGAATTTCCTGGAAGGAAGCCACCCCTTCCATTCTCGGTCCGTGAGGTTGAGTGGGGCTTCATCCACATCAGAACACTGAATCCTCTAGACAGAGACTGATTCAATGGGTGGCTGTGACGCTTGTTCTGTTGCCCTGGCTTTAGGGAAAGGTTTGGAGATGGCCACATGACCCAGTTTGCCGAGGATTTGTATGAGTTAGTAAGATAAAATACTTTCTCTTTCACTGGACATAAGCATGGGAGAGAGTAGGTCTGTGGTTATTGGCAGCCATCTTAGCATTATGTGGACTCAGAATCGAGCCATCACAGAGGAGAGTGGAGCCAGGTTATAATGTCTTCATTTTAGCCCCCGGAACA